TGCCCTAGTTGAAAATAACAAGATTCACAAGTTTTGTTTAAATAATCACAACTTTTCTTCTTATATTTACAACAATGCAATAGTAAATTATAATTTGTTTAGCTCAAACATCATAGTTCTTCTTAACTCTTTGGGAACCTTTCTTACAATAATAATTTTTCATAAAATGACTAAAATACCCAATTCAAAATAAAATAAAAAGACAATTTTATTCCAAAAAAATAAGACTACTCTAGTTTAAATAATGACTATTTTTCTTCTAATAATGATTAGAATGGAGCAAATAATTATAACTTTCCTTATGCAACTTTTTTATTCACTAAAATCCAAATATTGTAAGTATCCTCGTGCAATAACTACTTGTTTTGACAATGACTAAAACAAAATAAGTAATTATAACTTTTCTTGTGCAAATTTTATATTCATTGAAGTCCAAGTGAGATAAATATCAATGGCTACTTTGATTTAAATAATGACTACTTTTCTTCTAACAATGAATAAAACAGAATAAGTTATTACAATTTCTCCCACTATGAGCAGTGAGGAGTTGCATGAAGTTTTAATTATTTGTTCCATTATTGTCATTATTAGAAGAAAAGTATTCACTACTTAAATCAAAGTAGTAGCTAATACTTACTTTTTTTAGGCTAGAGTTGTTACTTTTATTTATTTTAAATTAGAGATACTTTAGTCATTTAACAAAAAATTATTAATATCAGAAAGGTTCTTAAGAAATTGAGAAGAATTATGACATTTCATAGGACTTCATTGTTTTTTGCATTTCTAGAGGGATTTATCTTTTTTTTTTTTAGAAAACTATTTCCACTATTCCAATTCTGGGGTTCTTCAGAGAGTTGCTTCTTTGCTGCATTTGCTTTATTCTTTTAATTTTAAAAATAAAAATGAAAGGAAAAAATAGAGAAGAGAGAGAGAGAGAGAGAGAGAGAGAGAGAGAGGAAATATGTCACAACAGGAGATGAACACATTATGCAAAAGGAAAACATGTATGATAGTGATAATTCCCAATCAAATGGAAAGTAGAAATTATACACTTGATAATTTATAGGTGGAGAAAGTATTGAATAGAAATAAATACCATTTTCTATTCTTTTTCTTTTTCTGTTTTCTTTATGGAAGCACTATTTTTATACATGTTTCTATATGTCTTTACAAATACTCTCCTCTTTTTAATATTCTCTCCATCTTAAATTATAAAATATTTTTAATAGAAATATGTATACTAATAAAATTTATTAAATATATTTTATAATTTTATTTTTTAAATAAAAATACAAAAATTTTAAAAATATTCTTAATTTAATACTTCATTTATGAAATTAAATTTGTTTTGCTTAGAACTCAACTGGTACTTCATTTCTTTCCTACAATGGAAAACCATCAATAGTGCACATTGGCCTCAGGTTCAATTCCTGAAATTTGATTTTCTTTCCTTCTAAGAAGACCCATCCAGTACTTGGAAAATGAGTGTAATAGTCTAACAAGCATGACAGTGAAAAATGACAAGTGAGTGTAATTTTTTTTTTTTGACAAGCATGTATATAAAAAATAAAAAGTAACTATAACGTTTGAACAAACAAGAATATGGAAAATAATGAAACAACCTCACGTACTAATTTACATTTAGCTGGGCGCCTACCATAATAATAAAGGATTCACCTACCATATTAGAAAAGAAAAAACCTAACTCTGTCATGTTAATAAAAAAAGGATTGACCCTAATTAAGCTCCACCATGATAATAAAGCAACCCTACTCATCTAACATGAGCCATACTATGGTAGAAAAAAATTTAAGCCAACACATAAGAGTTGTCATAGTAGAAAAGAATGAAACATATTTATCAATCATAATTCAAATAGATTCCACATCTACAATAGTAGAAAAGAAAGGATAATTCATACCTCAAACAAACATAATCATGCAATAGACCCTGTCATGCAAATCAAGACACATCTAAAGCAGTCTATGTCACACAACCTATGTCGGCTTTGCCTATTCTAACATGCTAGGAAATGCCTATAGAACTATGCTATATTCCTAACGGCCAAGCAGGTTACAGGTGCGTTTAGTAAGCTCATGTTAATGTGGTTTTTAACTTTTCGGATGTGGGATGTTGTTTGGATATATTTTTTCAGATGAAATGTGCTTTTCAAAAGGACTTTTAAATGGGTCTGAAATTGAAAAAATAGGAAGTAACTTTTGGGAGCTTTTGAAATGCAAATCAGACAATGTGAGCATTAATGATTGGTACCTAATATTATAAAAGACCATGATACCCTCATTTTCTCCTTCTTCACGTGCAACCGACACTGGCCTCTCTCATTCTGCATATTCTCACTCACTCATCCGTCGACCGTCTGTCACCCTACCGTCGCTCCTCCTTCTCTCCTTCATCTCTCCTTCGCCATCTAGTCACAGATCCTAAGCTCCTCATCTCTTCCCTTCCTCAATCTCCTCGTCTCTTCCTTCGTTGTTGGTTTCACCATTACTATGCCTCATTTCTTCATTTCCACTGTCAGTTGTTCACGGATCAAGCTCGTTTTAGGACTTAGACAAAATTGCGAAGCTGAGAGAACTCAAGACACTTGGATTTGTAGCATGTGGAGTGCAAAATTGAACCTTCGGACTAGCTCTGCAAACTCCAGCCTGCTTCTCTGATCTGCAAGGTATGATAACCTACAAATGTTTTTTGTTACATCTGGAAATGATGGTCCTCTATTTTGCGTTAATAGACAAAAATGAAGCATAATGTGGTGGATTTGGTGTGCATTTCCGATATGCTCTGTTCAATGGTGACCATGTTCTTTGCAGACCCAGTATTTTTTTCCTTTTTTTGATTGCCATATGCACAAAACAAGAACGTAGGAGTTTAGTATTTCACAGACCCAGTTAGTAGCAAGCATGTTCTTCCGGCACAAGCTGCAAGGATGTTTGGTTCTCTTATTTTTGACTTATAATATGCAATTTCTATTTCCTTTTTCCAGAACTTTAGTGTGTATTTTCTGAAATATCAGATTAATATAACATGAAGGAATGAACTATTTATTACATAATTTTTTCCAAAATTAAATTTTATATTAGAGATTAGATTTTATATTATAGATCGAATGTTAATCACGTAACTATTCAGTATTTATGAATATTTAACTATTTATTACACAATTTTTTTCCAAAATTAAATTTTATATTTTTTTCTTATTATTTAACATTTTAAATTTTATGTTATTTAAATTTGTTTCACATTTTTTAACATTGCCAATATATTATATTTGTATAATAAAAATTATAAATTATCATAAATTAATGTCCTTTTTGTTCATTACATATTAAAAAGTATATTTTAAAAGAAAAAATTTTTTATTAATCCAAACAACTTTTTTTTTTAAACTGACTTTTAAAAAAATATATCCAAACACAAATTTCATTACAACAATTGACTTTTACCAAACTGACTTTTGCCAGATGAACTTTTATTAAGCTGACTTTTGGCAAATTAAAAACTAAACACACACTACATCAAAAGCATGTTTGGAGATTTAAGCAAATAATCTAAATAACATAAAAATATTCTACAACTTTGCACTCTGGTAGAAACCTCTAACTAGAAGGCTTAGAGGTTATAAATGAATCATGAGTCAATTAACAATATCTGTCACACCTTAATATTAAGGGTATGATTGACATGGAATATGAGATAACCTACATTTCATAAGCTTAATTGACTAAAAATTAAGCTAAATTGTCAATATATAATTTTTTATGTGTTTATAAAGTTAGTAAAGTCTTCAATGTTTGTAGAAATTTTGGCAGAGTCTCCCCTATAATTTGGACCTTCCAAAATTTTTACAATAATAAAACTACCATAATCTAATAAAGGAGACTAACTCCACACTAGCAGATTACATATTAGCAAAATAAAACTAGGACCTAACTACGACATACATGGAACACGAACTATCATTGTATAATATAATGAATATTTACATTAAAATAAATGATTGAAGTGTGCTTCTGTCGTCCACAAACCAATAAAGCCCCTTAATGATCACCAAAAGGTGCAAGGCCAATTACATTATCTAAGACCAAAAATATTTTTGGTGAGTAGTATCCCGATCAAATTATAGATAAAACATGTAAAAATAGTAATTAATAAAATTTGGTTTAAAATAAATTAATAAAGTATTAAATCACATATTATAATTACCAATAAATGACAAAGTTGCTCAACAACATAACCGTGAAATAAACCAATAATTTTAAAATTTTATATGTTATCAAGAATTGCACAATTAATAAAAATATACAAAAAAGAATTTGAATGATTATATAATCAAGAAGAAAATTTATAAATAACTAATATAAACAATAAATTTTTAAATTCAATCTAGGAGGAAATTTACCATATAAGATCGTATACAATTAAACAACAATTTATTTATTAGAATAAATTTAAAAATAAAATTTTTTCAAAATTTATGGGAGTTAATCAGAATGATTAATAAATGTGGATACACAGTGCATGAGGGTAAGTCATTAACCAGCGCGACTTAAAGCCACAGAATAATTAAACGCTACTAGAAGCTACGAAACAAGCATAAGTATGTAACCCATGAAACAAGCGTGAGTATGATATTTATGAATATTCATCCCTATGTTCCACTTACATTGGTTTGCACACAGGGCTAGTACCTCTTACAAATATCCTGCAAGTAAAGGTGTGCAATTTACCGCACCCACATACTTGCCTGACCCGTACTAAAATGGGTCATAGCCGTTCTTTAAAAAAAAAAAAAAGGTATGGGCGAGCATATACTGTATATCAAAAAACAGGTAGGTAATAAGTAAGGCAACAGGTGACCTGTACCTGCCTATTTATAATCATTATTTTTTAAAATAAAAATTTTCAGTTCTTCAGTTGGGCCTGGGGTGATGATTTAAAAAAAAAAAATTCGAAACTGGAAAGCCAAGGCCACTGAAGTGAAGCCTTCAACCCATGGCTGTGCGCCTAACCCCCCGTGCCCTAACAGAGCAAAAGCAACTGACCCTCACACCTGACCAAGCTAGCTCTCATCCTCTCCACTCTCTTGTCTCCAGTCTCCAGTCTCGTCCACTTTGCTTCTCATTTGTTCGCAGTTTTCCTTTGCCAATCGCCAGCCACAGCCAGTTGCCCCTGCCCAGTGCTTCTTTCAGCCATCTCCCCTCCTCCGTTCGCGACTTCGCGTGACGGCCTGAGTCGAGTAAGACTACAAGAGATTTCAGCTTTAGTTTCAGCTTCATCGTTCGGCGTTCACCTTTTTTCAAGCTTCGCCTTCACCTCAGCAGCTCAAGTAAGTCACCTCATTCTCGTCCTCTCCCCAACTGCTATTGGCTGCCATTGGTTCAGGATTCTGGTTATATTTGTGAGAGCAGCTATATCATAATGCTTGCCAGTTGGATTTGAAAATTAGTTCTTTTGAGGCTAATATTCGGCCGTCTTACTTTCACATCAAGCCACTTTGATGCCAGTCAATTACAGAATTGGCAGCATTATCTGGATTTTGTTGAATTGCAAGGGGATTTTGATAGGGTATTGTTCTACACAGTATTTCCAATAAAGTAACTTTACCAGTTAACTGTTTCCTTTTCCCCTTAGGTAGTCTGAGCTTTTCTTGATTTTCTATTTCCTTGATTGATCTCAGGCTGCAAAACTTTATGAGAGGTGCTTAGTTGTTCGTGCCAACTACCCTGAATACTGGATGCGTTATGTGGATTTCATGGAAACTAAGGGAGGAAGAGAAATTGCAAAGTATTCGTTGAAAAGAGCAACAGAAATTTTTTTGAAGGTATCATTTTGTGACATGCATTTTGTTGATTGAGTTTCATGTTGCTCAACCTTTGCATCTGATTATTGTTACAATTCAGTGTTCCTAAGATAGGTCTGACAAATGACAAAAAGTGATATGGAATATAAATAAAGAGTTTACTTACAAGTTACAACATCACAAAACAGTATTGAAAGCCCCCTTTTTTTTGTAATTTTATTTTTCTTTACAAATTGCTTAATGCTCATTTAGAGGGGGGAAAACTCTGGTTTTTTTAATATCTGATGTCTCTGATTTAGGCTGATATGGTGGACACCTTATCAAACATCCTCACCTGGTAGGAATTGTAAGTGATTTGTAAGCTAAATCAAGAACGCCTTGCACGATGATGAGATAATGTTGCTCAAATAATTTTGTCCTCCTACTCCCTTACTGTAAGTGAAGCTAAACAAATACTGTATCCCTACGTTAATTAGGTGGAGTTTTACCCATGCTGTAATTTGAGAGATTTTACTTTATTGTGCAATGGACAATGAAAATTTTGCTAATCATAAGCTAAGAAATACTGATCAATTTTCTTTCTTATGAGTCTATTTTAATTCTTTCCTTATCCATTTTTTCTTCTTGACCTTGTGACAATGTTATGCCTTACTAAAATAGCTAAGCTTTTTTTCTTCTTCTTCAGAATGCTTTGACTTAATACCTTTATGCAAAGACTTGGCAGTGTTTATTTCCCCTATCGTATGTTTGGTGCTGCAAGTGAACAGGTGGCCTAGACCCACCCCGTTTACACCCCTACCTACTAGCTAGGTGTACCATAGCATGCCAAAGATTAATGAAATTACCGTCAGCATCTAGTGTTCTGAGTTTAGTCCTTCTAGTAAAAATTATCAAGTGTGCAAGGAGTTCAAAAAAAAAAAACTCAATATTTTTATTTTCAAAGTATACCGTTCAACTACTATCTTCCATTTCTAAACTCATTTTTATTTCCTCCTTGTATGAACTATTGTATTAAAAGTTTTTATATCAACATAGAGTTAAATGGTTAACTTACTTTTAAAAATTAGAACCATCTATTCTATATCTACTTCAATCAATTCTTATTTATAACATAAATAATAAAAAATAGAATTTACAAGAATGTTTAAACACCTTATAAAAGAATAATATCAAAATTTAAAATTTAATTAAAGAAATTTTATAAATACTTTGTAAGAAATTATTTGGGACACTATTCACTCATCTAAGAGTTTTCTAATAATTTTTAAAGCTTACTTCTTTTTAACTTCTCATTCATATCTCGAATGATTTCATAAAATTCCTAATAAATAAATCATAATTTTAAAATCACTCATCAAGGAATTTTTAAGCACTTGCTGACATTTAAATTCAATCCAAAACAACATCACAGCCTAAAATATACAATAATAAATTCATTATCAATTTAATAATTTATCAAAAATTCAACTAAAGCAAGGGAAGACATTTCTATCCCTTTCTGTACCTTCTTAAAGATTAATAAAGTGCCACAACTATCATTTAACATAACATAATCTACTTTATGTACTTTTTTTTTGACCAACCTACCTTAGGTACTTTAGGATCCCAATTTAATGATCAAATCACTAATTACACATATTCCTTCAAAACTAGTAGTATGAAAATTGAACAACTTGTATTTTGCCAAGTGCCTGTCTTAAACATCTCAAGCTTAGCATCACATTGCCTATAAACATAAACAATCACATACATACATAACTAAACTTCTATTTAAAAATTAAATATTTTGATTCAATTAAATTTTTTTTTTAGGCTTTTCAACAAATACCTTATAGGCATCTTAATTGACCCATAAATAAATATTTCCTTAGCCCTCTATCAACAATCTCTTCTTCTCCTTCATCTCTCTTTTTTTTATCTATACTTCCAAATTTTTAATTTGTCAAGAGCACAATTCAATCCAATTCAACTTCCAAGCTAAATTCCATTTAGTGGCAAGTTTCAATAAACCATCCCAACTTGAATATTTAAGCAAACACTCAATCAACCAACAGCGCCCAAAATAAAAAGGAATATAGGCATACCGTAGGATAAAGAAAAGTGGAAACAAGTGGTTAAATTCAGAAGGCGCTTCACGGCAGCCACAATCACAATGATGCCAACTCAGATTCAATGACAATCAAAGGGAGGAGGTGGGCTGATCGAAAATTAAGGGAGCATCAGGGTTTGAACTCACACAGCCAACAACAATGAAACAAGAAGTGAAGATGAGCTTACCACACACCTGGATGCAAACAGCCAGCAGCTGAAAAGGAGGGAAAATGAAGAACAAACACACCCACGCACACGTAGACATAGAACAGAGGGGAACGACAGGAAAACGTGAAGCAGCGGCAGAAATTTCAGCAACTATAGGTGGCAAGGAAATGAGTAGGACGACGGTGAGGTTCGTCGAGCAGAGAAGTCCGACGGTGAGGAGAGAAATCGGACAGTGAGGAAAGAAGAGACGTACATTGTCGGTGAAAAAGAGAGAGAAATGCTCATGCTCTGTTTTTCTGCACGAAGGAGGGGAGAAAATCTGAATATGAGAATAATTGGAAAAGTTATAAGAATGGGTGCAAAAAAAATTACAAGAGCACAAAAATTTAAGAAAGGATAAAGAAAAGATACAATTTTTTTTTTATAATTTCAAATAAAATTAAACTTTTACTAAGTAAAATTTAAATTTTAAACCTTTAAAAAAATTATTAGTATCAGTTCTAATAAATTACTCCTCTCCACTTGCTATAAAATTAAAATAATTAAATAAAATATTAATTGATAAAAAATTTATTTAATTTAGAATTTAGGTCATTACAAAATAAAGTACAAGTAGAGTGGTGGTTTACTGCCAAACAGAAAAGCACTGCAAAAAATAAACTCAAAGTATTTAACTTTTTATCTTCTCCTCAGTTTTTTTTTTTTTGGTAGATTTCTTCCCCCTTTTTGAATCTTTTTCATACCTCTACTGTCTTTCATCTTTTTTATTAGCTTCTCTCGTCAATTTTTGTTATTCTTTACCCGACCATCTGAACCAGTTGAACCTTCGATTTTGCCGGTTTTGTCTGGTTTGTAACCAATTTAGCCAATTCGTCAATCATTTTTTCTTCCCTCGGTTTTAGCTTACTATTGGACCTGACATGATTCACGCCACTACCGAACTTATACTACTTCTGGTATTAATTATAGAGAAAAGTTTTAAAGTCCTTTTTGATCTTTCTTTTTTATTGCTCATAGATATCATTCGATTGGTGGCAATCCTATTTGAGACATGGTTACATATTAAATGTGAGCACTTCTTCAATAAAAATTTAAACCTTAATTTACTATGTTGTGAGGAATCAATCCTTTTCATTATACCCAACCTCATTGGTAAAGTCCTATTTAATTTTAAATATAAGGAAAATATATTAGCTATTTTTTTCTTAATATTGTCTTCCTTGATTGTACTAAGTTGTGATTTTTAGATATACTTTTTTTATGCCTTGAAAATAGAGGGTGATCGGCACAGGATGTGAACTGTATCACACATCCTTTAAACCTCATATTGAGAAATTATTCCATTTCTAAAACATAATTAGATCTATATTGAAATTATGACATCTTTAATAATATTCATTATAATGAAAACTTTAATATTTTTGTAAAAATTTTGGTAGTACCTCCTCTCTAAATTAGATTTTCTAAAATCTCTACAACAGAAAATATTGCAATATGCATTCAAGAGTTTGGAGCTATGCTCCCCAATAATAGACAACCAATATAAAAGAAAATAAAGTTAGGATCCTATTTATAGTTAACGTAAAGCATCTAAGATGTAATCTCAAAATAAAACACATGATTGAATATTTACATCAAAAGAAAAGGCATTTTTAAAAATAAATATTTATTCAATGTAGTTGTAAGCCCCTTAATAATCAGCAGGAGGTCCAATATTAACTAAAGAATTTGAAACCAAAATATTTTCAGTGAATAGCATCCCTAATAATACAATTCTACAAACTAAAAGTAGTAAACTCATGCAATTGTGTAAAATAATTGAAAGAAGGATAATTCAATATATAAAAAAAATACTTCAATATAATAAACTTAATCCTAAATCATGGTCAAAACCATTAAATGAGAATGAATTAAATTATTTTATTTTTTCATGCTTAAGGCAGCAAATGATTCATATGTTAATAGAAGTGGTACATTTACTAAATGAACCATTAAAATTTTAAAAATGCAAGTTGATTAAAATTCAAAATTTTGAGAACTGAACAAAATAGGTAACAAATGTTGATATACAGTCTACATTGGTAAGTAACCAAATGCAACCTGAACTACAAAACAAACATGGATACAGTCCACGAGAGTAAGTAATCAAACACAGTTTAGGCTACGAAGGCAAATATGAACACACAGTCTACGAGGATAATTAATTAGAGTAGTCAAAGCCATAAAACAAATATAGGTACGAGATCCATGAATAACATATATGAGAATAGAGCTCATAGAAATCAAACTAGCTAGTCATTGATCAAGGCGTGCCAAGAGCTAATGGAACTGTTGTTAACAATAGTGTTTTGCTTAATGTCTTCTCAAAATAACTTCTCAAACACACGAGAAAAGTAATCATTTCTGAAATACAATTTTGTTTTTCAATACCAAACTCACATGAATCATCTTAAACTTCAATTTGATACTTATCAAAATAAAGTTTCATAAACAATGTCTATTCTTGTATTTGTTTAGTGGCCAACAATTTCCAGAATTAAATAAATAAGAATGTCTTTATCAATCTTAAAAGTATATCACTTAAGAAAAAAATACTAACATAAATCATAATTTAATTTCCCTCAACTTTATTCTATAATCTCTAAAAAAAAAATAAGATAATTTAATTAACAAGGTAACTAATATTTATCATAGTTGTTAATAAAAATAATATACATAAAAATGAAATAATTTCAATGAAAGACTTTTATTGATAAGTTAACTAGGGTGCTATTCACTTATCTACTAAATTCTAAAATCCATTGATTTTCTCACTCAATTCTTATCTAGATGCTCATCTTCCACGCACCCTATAATAATATGTATAAATGAAACCTCAATTTACTTCCTATAGTTATGTAAACTTTATTTCACTATCAATACAATCCTAACCAATTGCCAATATTCAAAATTTCAAAAACCAAAATTTATATCTTAATGATATCCCAAAAATAGTTACTTACCACCAACTACATCATATACCTTTAATCTAACTACTATTTAAATGAGATATGGTTTTCTTACACTCGTGCCAAACACCTTGTGTGCATAATTCCAAATCATTCAATAAAACTTTTTAATCAAATACCTCATGCCTAACCAATTTCCAAATACCCATAGTTAAATTTATAAATTACACAACATAAAACTTTCAAAAATTCAACTAACCACACAATGACTTAGAAATCAAATTCTTTGCAATGCTCAAGTGAAAATTCAACTAAATAAAATTTGAATTAGTCATGCTTCTCATCACAATAAATCAAATCTCAGGACAATCCAAAATC